GCACTTTTTTTACTCACAGTCTATTTTCTTTTCCCCTCTCTCCGACTGCAATGACCTCTGCATGCAGATCTCGCCAGGCGAACGGTGTGAACATGTCAAGTTTTAATCAGAAGACATTTATTAACCCTGTGTAACTCTACTTCTTTCATTATTTATGTAGTTGTATAGGCCCGATGATAAATGGTCGAAAACATATGCTTTTCGAGTAGACTTTTGAAGTTACAAATGCGCATATTTGCAAAAAACAAGCCGGGCTGTAGTTAAGGAGGGGACTGACTATAATTGCACATTGATTCCCTACATCCTGCAAATTGCCGACATTGGCGGAAGGAGACATTGTTAAATAATAATGTAACACCTCCAGCGACTTTACAACTTAAAAGGGCGTGTACAAAGTAAGATTAGTTTGTTTAGAAATGACATTTTCTAAATTGGCATCTGTTAGCAGATTACCTTACTTGGGTGTAGACCAATGGCATCGTCAGACTACTGAAGACCTGTAGTTGTTGTAACTGTTGTCGGAATTTTCCAATTTCCTGAAAATCAAAATATAACGACTTTCGCAATCAATACACGCCGCAATAACACAAAAGCAATGAGTAAACGCGAATAATATGCGAAGTCCAATTTCGCAGGTTCTCAGTTTGAGGGTCAAGCTGTAGCGATATACACTTTTCAGTTTTGATTTTCTCTGGCTGCTGAAGCGATTAATTGTCCTGATTAGTTCACTTCTTCTGTATATAGATCTCAAAGTGAAGTTGCGCTGCAAACAAACTTCTCACATCTCAAATCCAACCATTTCCAATTCCGAATATGTGTTGGTGATTACATTTGATGTATTTTCTCATCTAATGATTAAAGTATTTTCTTGCCAATTCGCTCGTTACAAGCGTCACTTGTGGCTATAAATGAGCCAAAATTATTTACAAAAAGAACTGAACTTTACAAAACAAGTAACACACAAAAAAAGAATGTGCAAAATCCAACAGCGTTGGCTAAAATCATTCCAAAAAACCCACAACTACCCGAATTTTAAGACATGACGTTCGAAACCTGTCGCGGTCAGAGATGTAGTCAATGCAATAATTTAGTCCTACGCAACATCTCGTCTGCAGCTTGGTGAGCGATGGAAACCCAATAGATGACGTAGCTTATGCAACGCCGTGATCGAAATTTGATTCATGGTTCTTATTTGATCTAATTGAATACATTTGAGTCTCAGAAAGACTCTTATAAAGAAGACTGGATGAGCAATTTGGATTACTGGAGCACGACAGGGTACATTTGGGCCAATATGAAGTTTTTTGACATCCCTGAAATAAACAGTGCTTCATTTTATCTCAGAATATACCTATTCATTTTGTCTGTTGTGCTATCAATGAGCATACTGTATACGCAAGAAAAATTTCTACTTTTTTCCCTCTGGAACCTAAACACCTGATACTTAATCGATGAAATTTAGTTAAAGATCATTGAAAAGAACAAAACTTCAGTTGGTGTGTCGGGAACAACTTTCAAGTACTGCCAACGCCTAATGCTTTGGATTACCACCAAATGCAGATAGCGACCGAGCTGGCGGCTGACAAGGGAGACCATAAATATCACGGTTTCGCTGACGTCGTAAAGGGTGCCTTCGGTTAAACCTGTATTCACCGACGCCGAAAGCATACTTTAATGTCGCAGGATAATGCCTCTGTTCATTGATCAAATGAGATAAGAATTAAATTTATCTCAAAACTATAACTTTATATAGACCGCAGATATATTATCCTTCTGCGGCCTACGCAATATTTTTTTATTCCTGCCTACAATCCTGCCATCAATCCATCGGAAATTTGAAAGTTTCTTCGCCAAATATGTTTTCAGCAATTCATCCTCAGACCTGCACAATTGTAGAGATACTGAAAATCTTACAGGTGGACAGGGTTAATGAATGTTTTATGATTATAACTCATTGTTTTTACGCCGCTCGCATGGCGAGATCTGTATGTAGAGGTCATTGCGCTGGGAGAAAAAAATGCTATGCGATAATTAAAGGAAACAATGACAAAACAAGCGATTACCTTTTAATGGAGCAAATGTTGAGTGTTGTCCACAGAGAACAAACCAAGCTTGACATCTTAGTATTTTTTATGCCCTGTCAACTTTAAACATTTTGAAGGCCAAATGACACTCAGCAGTCACCCCTTTCATTTATCTTGCTTTTCATAATTTCTCCGCACATCATATTTTCCTTTTCTGTTCACAATTTTATTAGGTCCCAAATATTTGACCTAGTACGGAGCATTTTTCTCTAAATTTGATGATTCTGCCACGAAATAAAATCAATCTTTGGTTATAAATTATACTGCGGTAACCAAACTTTCGGGGATACTAGACGAGTGGTTTGCGTGCCCTAAGGGTTTCTTGTTCGTGAATGTTTACAAGTTAAGTGACGAAATGTACGTTTCCGTGAATAAATGACGGGATGTAAATCTTCACGCTTTAAACACGTGCAACCATCAGTTCATTTTATGCAGTCAAACCTTTTAAAATCACAAGAAAACCCGTCTGCTAACCTTGGTGACGGTAGGAATTAATTTTGGGTCAGATATGTTTGCATGTATTCCAGCCTTGTTGATGAGTCGAACGGCCCACTGGAGCGGCACCCAGGCTTCGGGGATGTAACGTTGGTGCGTCTTCTGGTAGTGTTGCTTTGCAATGCGCTCAAAGGCCTTTATCTCGTTTTCCAAGATGATCATGCCGAAGGTCGCCTGAACAACTAAATATTTTCAGAAGAAAATGCAATATAAATTTAATAAATACTTTGGATGCGAAACATCCGTGCACGTCAAGTTGCTTAACCGGTGAAGGAAGAGATTCGACTCTTATATGTTTGTTTCTTTTTGACGCTTTTGGCATGCCATAAATAAAAGTGGCATTTAGAACTGGGAGTATGCGTTTTGAGAATATCTTGTCCTTTATTATATTTCCCCACATTTCCCCGGATAATGCTGGAGTTAATTGTTGCACCAGTTCTCAAAAATTGAAGACGCATTTACTCATGAATGCAGTTATGATGAGCGTCTGATGACAATACGGAGGTTACATAAGTAGCCTTAATACAAGTATTAAAATGCCCAGGGCAGCGAAACGGCTATTGTGGCTTATGGATTTTAATCAGTTCGAACGAAACTGAAATAATATCACATCCGATCATTTAAGTCATGAACGATTAGACTCTGAACTTTTGTGCAGTCTCCGTTGTATGCTTTCCGCAATATATACAGGGAAAAATCCCCGAGGATAGGATGGAACCAACCAGCTCTCCACGAAGCACTCGTGTTCTTCGTTCAGGACGGAAGGGCTTGCAACCCCCAATGCAATTTTTAATACTTTATTCCGTGGACTTTTATAAACGAGTGGTTTATAGTCCACTAACTCTGTCTTACGACACAATCAAGTAAATTCGCTTCAAAGGTATAATTCTGACTGAAAAACTTATTCCACTAATTCAGGATATAGAAAGCCAAGATGCATTGATATCGAAGACCTTAAATTAACCGTATGATATTTAACTTAAATGGGTATGTTACCATAAAGTAGCGAGTAACATTTATATTCCAAGCATTTATATAGTAATCCTTATTTATTAAAACGCAAGCCCCTGAAGGATCAAGAATAACTTAAAATGAATAGATATACTTATTATTTGTAGGTAGGAGCAAAGTCTAGGTTTGGTATTACAATGCCTTCCTGCTGAACATTCTCTTTGAAGTAAATTTGTACATAGTTTAGCTTTGCATGCAGCTATAGTGCCCACCATTATATCCTCCTTGGGAAGTTCCTTCCAGGCGTAAACAATTCGCATTGAAAAGAAGTACCAAAAAACATCTAGGTGAGATGAGGATCCCCGATGTTTGAGGAATTCCTATACTAGTGTATTGTGTAGCCAATTTTTAGAACGGTGGTCCGGGTTGCTCACAATCAATAAGGTCTGTATAAGATCTCAGATCAATAGGAAATAGTTTAAGAACGTTAAGTCCGTATTAATATTATAAGGAATGAAACCCTTGTACGATGGCCTACTTCGTCATAAGATGGCAGTCTTGAGGCGCTTGATCTGCTGTCCTTGAGAACAGGCTGATCCGAAGAGACCCTAAGTAGACCTACCCAAATGAGATGAGGAACATTTGGGTTTGTAGTTTACTTTTGAGTAAAAATACAGTTTATTACATTTCATAGTTGATTTTCCAAAATGCATTACAGTCTGCTGCTTGCTAGTCGGTATGCATATTCACATGTGCGAGAATACGCTTTATTGGGCATGGAAAGTTAGAATTCTCCTACATGCACGCACGAGTAGGATTGAAATTGATAAAAACGGAACTTACGTCTGTCATTATTGAAGCAACGCAAAGTATCCTTGATGCTCCATTCATCTTCGCAGTCAAGTTGTACAGCATTCGTGTTTAAATCAAATATATTGTCGTTATATTGGTCTTCTCGAGGAGGTGAGTGCACACCAGGTTTGTTAAGGTCGGATTGGTTTATTCTTTTAACCAGTTTCGCTGCGTCAATGTTCTAGCAAGGCCGGAAGAAATAACCATGTATTGTAATTAACATTATTTTGTTGATATCTTAGAAACGCAGTGCAAACAATATAATATTTACCGACTTTCCATTTAATATCGATCTCTTCTAGCGAACACCAGGTCAGAATCCTCAGGGAGAAGATTGCGCTGTACAAGAGCAGAGCCGTACAATGAAACTGAACTCATTTTCATGAGTACTTCTAGGATGTTTCAATTAAACAAAGGATGCCCTGCCGTTATAAGGTCCCATAGTTTGTATTTATGAACACGCAAACAGATTTGAAATTTATGACCTAAATGGTTTCAAAAGCAGGATAAGGGTCAATCTTTGGATTCCGAAAGGTCTTTCGAGTACTTTTTCTGGCATGAAGAACTAGGACCTTACGCCGCTTGGAGGCAGCGTATGTAAGGCAGCAGAAACCCGCTCTATACAAAAAGCTGAACTATTAAGCCAGTTTCAAGTTGCCCTAGTAACCGTCGTGTCTCTGTTTACCCAGCACTGGTTTTTTTAACATTCCCCTGTTTTCTTCCAAAACTGAGGCGTTAAAGTAACCTTTTCATTGATTATTTTCTGCATTTAACAATGACCCTGCTGTTATATATTCATTTTCTGTACAAACTAAAACGTGCATGTACTTCCAACGATTGCAGTTGATAGGCTGTCACAAAACGTATTGGTTGCAATAAATCCTATTATGTCGGCCTGTTTTAAATTAATGCCGGTGATAAAATCTCTGAATGTCGGTAACTCGTTAGAGCATCGTTGGGCACTTTAATTTCTCCTTAAGCCAACGTGAGCGAAATAGTCATGATGTCCTATGAAGAGTACTCACATTTCCAGCATATGTATAAATCGATCGAAATATTTGCCAGAATCATGCCCACAAGTTCGAGCTGTCAATAAGCACTCAATGTGTTTTCTACTGCTTAATATCTCTGCAAACAACTCGATGTCTATGTTAGTGAAATATGTTGCTCCCATGCAGAAAGTCAGTCAGAATCCTCTCTTAAACACTTTGCCGAAACCGAGCGCCTTCATACGTTTCTGTAATGACTAAATATACAAAAACATTTTCGTCAAGTTTTGTGTACAAGGTCTCCGGTTTATAGAAAACGATTTAGCAAATTTCCCTAGCATATACATTTCCGTCTTTTCTGAATTCCTATCCATCTAATGAATAGTCTGCTACTTAGTTTACCTGAGGTCCGCTTGAATAACTCTTAACATGCATGTATCTTACAAGGTTCATTATGTGGCCTGCCAGTTCGTAGTCGCTTCTTAAAATCAAACCTGTACGCTGGAGTAAGTATGTGGATGCTACCAATGAAATTTGATTCTCCTCCTGAATACTCTACCAGAAAGTGAACACAAACTGTCTTGGGAGGATCATAACAGACGGCATCGGACAGAGCAAGCAGCACTTTATGAAATGCAGCATAGGGTCATACTCCCCGCTTGTTCGACTATGCTGTGCGACCTTAGTCCTTCACAAAACGCGGACTTCAGTAATCTTGTATTCATTTTCAAGGAAACATAATTCCGGAAGTATCCGAACTAGTTCGCTCATGGCGTTATTTCGGAGCTATTTCTAATCAGATTTTCTTTTATCTCCTAAGCTTTGAGGTTTATTTTAGCAAGCAGTGAGTGAAGAATAGACTTCTTTTTGTTTAAGGAACATTTGCTACACAAAAAATAAACTTTAATTTAACGTGTATCAGGAGCAGTCCCAGTTTTGTAGCCACGGTGGCTAGCACCTACATGAGACACTGACCAGAGATCGTTCCGCCCTCGAGTAATCAGTTTGTCATCGGGTTTTGGTGTTCCGGCCGTTTTATTGGTTCGATGGCGGAAGCGATCGGCGATGCGGTCGCTGATTCGCCGCATTGTAAGGATCCATGCCAGATTTAGGTAGCGCATTACAGAGAGGCGAATTCTTCGGGAAACTCTGGGGTCGGCGTAGTTGACAGCCGCCTATAAAACAGGCATTTGCATGCAGAGAGGAAATTTGTACACGTAAAGTATGCAAGCAGAAGGCAGGCTACTAAAAAAAGATTAGGGGCCATTCTAAAGAATGTTCCGTCATCTTTTGGGGCACATCTCCGCCACACTTGCATTTTACTACTTGCGAAATACAAGTAGGCTTGATTAGATAAAACCTAACGCAGACAGTTTTGGACTGTTCCAAATCTCATCGTCAGTACCTCTGATATTTTGGCCTGCAAGGTGATGATGACTCGAAATAATTAAACACGCGTATACAGCAGGATATATTGATGTCAATAAATTTCGTGACAGCTTCTCAGCTGCATCTTGTCGCTGCATTAGGATGATAACGAAGAGAACATGCAACCGTTTGAAATTTAGCAGAATGAATTACATAACAGCAAGGTTCATACTTCAGTTTAAATAATGATCAGGTAAAGGACACTGCATTAATCAACGTATGGAAAGGAAGGGGGTGGGGATTGAGGAAAAGTTAACGAAAATCACTTGGAGATTAAAACTGAGTAACCAATTACCAGAGTAATTTGAGGTTGATCACGTGGTCAGGCTGCTTGCATAGGTCAGGTTTGTCTCGTCGTATGTAGTCAGCTTCCAAATAACGCAAGGTTCGAATTGTTTGGGCCCGAACAAGTACTCGAAACGCTGTTTTGACGTCGACAGAATTACCACTGTCTAGTAGATGTTTGGTAATAGAGGACCCTGGTACTCTTTCTCCTTGCTTGAAAAGCCAGTTGGGCATCTGCTCAGCGGCTCTGCCTACCAGGTGCCTTTGCGTACGCCCAATGTACTTGCATCCGCAAGTACATGTATATTCGTACACACAATTTGGGTTGGCGTGCAATGGCAAGGCATCCTTTGCCCGTTTTACTGGAATGCTTTTAGTCGGACTTAAGAAGACGAGTTTAGCTGCGTTGTAGGTCCTTTCTATAGTACAGCGCAACCGTCGCTTGATTGTATT